AAAAAAAACATATGAAAATCGTAGCTTGATTGAAGCTAGACTCTCTTACACCGTTGTCTCTATACTTGAAGAGGTGAGGGACATCGTGGAGAAAAACAGGTGTGTGTAACGTGAGGTTTTAACCATTGGCCAAAAGGTTAGGTCACAAAAACAAAAAGGTTTACTTGCAAAAGAAAAAGATTTAAAAATAAGAGTGTTTAATTTTGATGTTTGAATTTCATTAAACTATTAAGCAAGAAGTATTGAATGAGAGGGGATGGTTCTCAATATCTAGGGCCCACTCTCATCCAATATTAAAAGTTGTCCTCTTCCATCTAATAGTTAAAAGGTATTTTTAACATATATCTTAAAAGAACATGTTAATAGTTTACTAATTATATTTTTTTTACAATTAACTTGCATAAAAATATAAGTTAATTTTAAATTTATCAACTATATAATTAAAATCATTCACATGGTAATGATGATAAAAATAATGTTTACTTTTTCATTTCTTTACAAACGGTTATTGCAAAAAGATGCAGTTAAAGCAATCTTATGACCTTACGGCACAAGTTAGAAAAATCTTGATATAAATTGTGTAGTCCAATGTGGTCTAGAATGCATATCATTTTTTGTCTTTTTGTATATATAAAGTTTATTAGTTGGACTAGCAAAAAATTAAGTGAAAAAATATTTTAAAAAATGCATCTATTTTAATAAAATATCAAAAAAAAAAAAAACAATATTTGTTTCCTAAAAAATCCTCAAATGACTTTGTTCATGTGAGGCAACCTTGGGTTGTAGGAGTGCCATATGCTTTGTTGCAAAGCAAGAAAGTAGGATTTTCCCAACCACCCTTTCCTTCCACATGGCTAACCTCTATTAGGATGGGTGAAAAAACGTTGGTTATAAGGTTGAGTTATGTGCCTTTAGATAATTTATAAGAGGGAGGGATGCTTTCTTACAAAATGAGTTACTAATTACCTTAGACAACTTCGAAAACTTTAAAACATCATCCTAAATATAAAGCTTAAAAATCTAAAATAAAAGGAATGAAACATAAACTAACAAATTATTGGTAGATTTATCTAAATCACTATAGAACTAGAAAAGTAAATGGACTTAAATTTAGAGTAAAGTTACGTAATCAAGATTTTTAGGCAAAAAAAGATTGAAATTATGATGAACATAAATGAGAGGTGTGAAAGTCATATAAGTTGACATTTAAAGAAATGACACTTATCTTAAAATTATTAAATAAACAAAGAGATTGTTGTAGAAGATAAAATTAACCTAAATCTAACTGGAAGTTGTGCTAAAACTAAAATATGAGAGTTATGTGAACAATAGTTGTAAAACTGGAAAATTGAATTTGATGAGTTGTGTGTAAGGTTGGCCGTTTGTTGCTTGTTCTAAATTTTTTTTTCTTTTATATGTGTCTAGGTAGATGGTAACCACTCACTCTCATATGTGTAGATTATGACAGACTTCATGGGTTAGTTGGATAACTCAACAGTGGACCTGGTCAAAATCCTTTCCAAAACTTATCACTTTTGTACCACTTCACTCGCTAAACTTGGCTTGCAACTTCTCTTAAAATTTAGCCATGATCTCCATTAACATTAAATGATACCAGGTAAATAGGTGATAATTACCAAAAATACCAAATCTAGTCAAACACATGGTAGTCATTAGCCAAATATGGTCTGAGGTGGCTTAATCTTTGTCACCATTTCAAACAATGTGGCACATGGAATCATAGATAAATTTACAGTTTATAGTGTAAACAAGATTATTCTTGCCTTAAAAATTGGTTATTTTAGTTTTTTTAAATGAGAGTTTATTAAAATGATGTTATTTTACAAATTTAATTAATAAACATTTTTTTCCATGGAAAGAGTTTTATATTTTCTCTTTCTATTTTTTTAGTTCTCAATATAAACCCTAAAATTACTAAGAGTATATTTGAATTGAGAGAAAAAGAAAGAAAAGGAGCAGACAAAAATATAAGAAGGTAGCTATTACCCCTAAAATCCTGTTAGTAACACGTTACGGTAGAAATTGGAATAAAGACAAAAATAGAAGAAGGTAGCTATTACCCCTAAAATCCTGTTAGTAACACGTTACGGTAGAAATTGGAATAAAGACATGTCACTTGCTTTTGTAGGAAAAGTAGAAAAAGGATTTGCTGACTACCCTCTTCTTCTATTTGACTTTTCCTTATGAAAGAGCTGTTGGAAGAATGTTATTTGAAATGAATTGCACCTTGAATCACACAATTGACAGAAATAAGGGATTAATTTTTATATAGTGAACTCAAATTTGCCTTGAAAACACGTTAAGAACTTTGATTACAATAAATATATATATAAAAAATAAATTTAAAGTACCAGAGAACAACTATACTGAAAGATAAGTATTGGAAATTAATAAAGGTGCAAAAACTATAGCTCACTGGAAATTTAAATTGTTGACATAAAAATAAAGAACT